CTGGTTTAATGAGGGAGACAGGAACACAAAGTTTTTTCACGCTGCTACCAAGAATAGGAGAGCCCAAAACAGAATCCAAAAGTTGATTGATGATGAAGGTCAAGAATGGCACACGGATGTGCAACTAGGAAGAGTGGCTGAAGCATACTTCAAGAAACTGTTTGCCTCAGAAGATGTGGGTTATTGGCTGCGAGAGATGGAAGAGGTGGCTCCGGTTATTACTGCTCAGATGAATGAAGACCTACTTGGACCAGTGACCTTAGAAGAGGTGAAGAAAGCAGTCTTTGACATTAACCCTACCAAATGCCCGGGCCCAGATGGAATGACAGGATTCATATACCAACAGTTCTGGGAGTGTATGGGTACACAATTAACTGCTATGGTGCAACAATTCCTCAACTCGGGATGCATGGAGCAGAACATGAACAAGACAAATATTTGTCTCATTCCAAAGAAGTGTAAAGCTGACAGGTTAGTAGACTTCAAACCGATCAGTCTCTGCAATGTAGTCTACAAAATCATAGGGAAGCTGCTGGCTACCAGATTAAAGAAAGTGCTCCCATCTCTCATTTCGGAATCCCAAGCAGCTTTTTTCAAGGGAAGACTAATCAGTGATAATATCTTGGTGGCCCATGAACTACTCCATGCTCTCAGCTCCAATAATAAGTGCTCTAAGGAATACATTGCAGTAAAGACTGACATCTCCAAGGCCTATGACCGTGTGGAATGGGCTTTTTTGAAAGATACTATGTTAGCTCTAGGCTTTGATGCGAGATGAGTCAGCTTAATCATGGAATGTGTCAGCTCTGTAAGGTATCAAGTTCTGATTAATGGAACCCCATATGGTGATATAGTCACAACTAGAGGGCTAAGACAAGGAGATCCCTTGTCTCCATATCTGTTTGTCATATGCACAGAAATGTTGATCAAAATGCTGCAAATTGCTGAGGTAAAAGGACAGATAACAGGATTAAAAGTTGCAATGGGAGCACCACCAGTCACTCATCTTCTCTTTGCAGATGACAGCATGTTCTACTGTAGAGAAAAGGATGAAGAACTTAATCAGATTAGTAGAATTGTGGAAGAATACAGTCTGGCATCGGGTCAAAGGGTGAACTACCAGAAGTCCAACATCACTTTTGGTAAGAATGTCCCAGAAGAAAGAAGAATAGACATCAAGAGGAAACTGGGAATAGAGCAGGAAGGAGGGCAAGGAGTTTATTTAGGACTGCCTGAGTCTTTTAAAGGGTCAAAGGTATCTATCCTATCTTATCTAAGAGAGAGACTTCAGCAAAAAGTCTCCAGCTGGCAGAACAACTTTCTTTCCCCAGGAGGGAAGGAAGTGCTGTTAAAGGCTGTGGCCATGGCCCTTCCTACCTATACGATGGCCTGCTTTAAACTTCCTTCCACTGTTGGCCAACAAATAGCCTAGGTAATGGCTGAATTCTGGTGGAAAAATAAGAAGGATTCAAGGGGGATGCATTGGAAGGCATGGGATCAATTAAATAAACCAAAAGCTGAAGGGGGGCTAGGATTCAGAGACATTGAAGCTTTCAATATTGCTATGTTAGGGAAGCAGCTATGGAGAATAATCACCAAAAAAGAGTCTCTCTTGGGAAGAATCTACAAGAGTAGATACTTTAGTAATTCTGATCCATTAATGGCCCCATTAGGATCACGACCCTCTTTTGCCTGGAAAAGCATTCATGCTGCTCAGGAGTTGATTAAACAAGGTCTAAGAGCTGTGGTGGGTAATGGAGCAACCATAGAAATTTGGCAACACCAATGGCTCTCAGCCAAACCAGCAAGAGGAGTGCAGGCAGTGAACAGGAACCCACAACAATTATGCAGATCAGTGGCTTCTCTTAGGTATGTCAAAGATCTCTTGGTAGCTAATGGATGAGAGTGGAATATGGACTTAATTCACACTGTGTTCCCAGAGGGAGTAGTCTAGCAGATTGTTCAAATTAGGCCCGGGGTAATAATACACAAGATAGTTTTACTTGGGACTATTCTAATGATGGGCAATACTCAGTAAAGTCCGGATATTGGGTTCTTATGGAAGTCATTAGGCGCAAGAATAGACCACAGGAAGTGCTCCAGCCCAGTTTAAATCCAATTTTCCAACAAATCTGGAAAACAGACGCGTCCCCAAAGCTGCAACACTTCCTTTGGAAATGTGTAAGTAACTGTCTCTCTGTGGCGGGAATCTATCTTACAGGCACCTAGCACGGGAGGGATCATGCATTAGATGTCCCTCACAAGTAGAAACGGTTAACCACATGCTTTTCAAATGTGCCTTTGCTCGATTAGTATGGGCTATCTCTCCTATACCAGCCCCTCCAGGTAGTGAATGGTCTGAATCTCTCTATCAAAATATTTACTACCTGCAGAATATAAACCAGGAGCATCCCCAATTGCATCTTGAGGGTAGCTTGGCTCCATGGATCCTATGGAGGCTATGGAAGAGCATAAATGATTACATTTTTAAAGGGAGAGAATTTTCTGCGCAAGAGGTAGTACAAAGAGCAAAGGAGGATGAAGAGGAATGGAGAATGAGAAAGGAAAAATGCAACCAGCCGTCTCAGATGACAAGAACTGAGCAACACAGGATCAAGTGGGAACCGCCACAACCAGGATGGGTGAAGTGTAATACAGATGGGGCCTGGAATGCAGAAAGCATAACTTGTGGTCTTGGTTGGATTTAACGTGATCATGAGAAGAGAGTGTTGTGGCTGGGAGCAAGATCCTTACCTCGGGTTGGAAAAGTGCTAGAAGTTGAGGTTGAAAGTCTTAGATGGGCTGTACTTTCCATGGCACGGCTTAACTATCGTAAGGTAATTTTTGAGACTGGTTCTCAACAGCTGGTGTCCTTGATCAGGGGAGAAAAAGAAAACAATCACCTAAATCCAATCTTTCAAGACATCAAGCATCTTCTACAGCAATTCGAGGATTATAGAGTGGTGTTCACGTATCGAGAAGGAAATGGCGTGGCGGACAAAATAGCAAAGGAGTCTCTTTCTTTTGAACATTATGATCCTAAGTTGTATTCTGTAGTACCAGTATGGATTAAACCATTTGTGGACATAGACAATATGTAACAGTTTATTGGTTAATATGAAGTTGAAGTTGAGTAAAAAAAAAAAAAAAAAAAGTAGTAAAATTATGGTTCAATCATATGATATCACCATACTACGCAGCACGCATAACTTCAATTATGTGCAAGTTGCTTGATGTATAATATCGTATATATTGGAAAGGCAAAATGTTTTCTGTTTTTATATAGTCTGATCTGAAATCTACAATGGTGTAAAAAGCGAAAAATATTGATTGAGGAACCTTCCCATGAAGATTGGACTTATTTTTACATATTCAAAGCTGGCAATCTCATCCCTTTATCCTTCGGCCTACCTAATCTTTTTGTCCCATGAATTGCATCACATTCCATGGATAAATTGATATTTGATATTCTTTATATTTTTCTCATATTTTTATTACTTTTTTCGATTAATTCAATATATTTGTTCACACCGTCCTTGGTCACAAATAAAACCATCGGATAAATTTGTTTTACATACTCCACTAGTTTACAAAAAAATACATATGCATGTCATCATGGACTCTTATTAAATGATTGACCAAATTATCTTTGATTTCACATTAATTAGGCATGACTCACGAAGTTTCAATTTCCTGATATTGTATTTTACTATTTTTGTTAGATTGTCAATGTAAATTTATAAACTCTACTACGAATCAACTTGAGTTGTTACTTGTGATAACACGTACAACAAATTAATTACTCGACTTTATACAAAATTAAAATAATAATTAATCTACTACGGTTAGAAAAAACGAAATGATATAGACGGTATAACGCTACACAACATTGGGTTATAGCTTTGTTGTGCGCATCATTACGTAATCGAGTGATCTCTTTAACGTATGAGGAAAGCTCCACGGGACCACGGCTACGTTTGCTTCTTCAAAGGTGGTTTCGAGCCCACAGCACTCATTAGTTTATTCTTTGCAATTTTAATTTTCCATTTTTTTGTACATAAACATTTGGTTTGATTTCTTCTGTATCAATGAATTTACCATTTCATTAAAAAAATAAAAATTATCCATTTTATGAAATTCATATATATACTGATGACAAATGTTATATTCGAAGTTTCGATCGAAGACTAATTAGAATTTAAAAATATTAATACTGATAATAAATAAAACATGACTAATTAGACACGAGTGCACTCTTTTTGTTTGCCACCATTCATGCAAACATCCTAATGAATACATCCTAATGTGATATTTGACTTATTTATATCTGGCCTATAGAGGTTTTAATCCTGATGTTTGTTTTTCTTATGCTATCAACATGCATATAAGCATATTTATGTCTACAAGGTGATATATTAAAAATACTAGGACAAACTAAAACTATAATAAATTACATGTAGTAATTTGTAAGTTATAAATTGTATGAGATTTTCACAATTTATATTTGAAAATAGTGTGTTTCGTGGATATATATAATTTATGGACTATGAAGTAACAAATTTTTGTAGTAAAATTATAATTTATTTTCGCTTTTATCATTTTGAAATTATCATTTTGAAATTTTTGTAGTAAAATTATAATTTATTTTCGCATTTATTTTCAAATTTTTGTAGTAAAATTATAATTTATTTTCTGGTAAATTATCATTTTCGTAACTCGTAAGAACTCGCTAATTAACCATACGTTATTAATTTGTGTTACAATAATTCTGTATATCTTTGTAAAATTTGTTTTATTCTTGTCCTAGTTTTCTTACAGCTTTTTGTAAACACGATGATTAATAAAGTTATTGGAAGAAAAAAAAAGAAAAATCGTCGGCCGGTTAATGGAACCAATATCTATAACCGGGAGCGGTCCGTTGAGAATGAGATGATGGGCTTAGTTTGGGCTTAAGGTAAAAAAAAGTTTTGCAGTTAAACCCGACCCGTATAGATATCACCCGAACCGCCATAATCACTGGTAAACGAAGAACTGAATAGAGGAGACGGAGGAGCACTGAAGAAGACGAAAATGGTAGGCGGAAGCGGCGGTGGAAGAGGAGGAGGAGCATCGGCTGATCTTCACTCCGCGGCAAGATCTGGTGATTTAGCAGCAGTTCAATCTATACTCAGCTCTAATCCTTTGGCTGTTAATTCTAGGGATAAGCATTCTCGGACTCCGTATCCTTTCTTCTCGCAAAATCACTCTTCTTCGATTTTAGTTTCTGCTTGATAATGAAATTCAACTTCTCTCGATCACTTTTCTTTGTTTAACTACAAATTTTCTTATGTTTCCTGAATGTTCTTTGCTACGGCCTTAGTTAGGGTTTATATCTAGGTTTTAAATCTTGATACTTAACATTTGATTTGGTTACTAGGAGAATGGCCAAGTTTAAAGCTATGTGGTTCGTAGATTACACCTAGAGCAATGATAGATTTCATATACTTTTCGTGTTCTTTGAAGTCTTTTGTTGTTCATTTCTTTGTCCTTAACATCATGATCTCTTGGGGTAATAGACTGCACTTAGCAGCATGGGCAGGGCACAATGAGGTCGTGAGCTACTTATGCAAGAACAAAGCTGATGTTGGTGCTGCAGCAGGAGATGACATGGGTGCAATTCACTTTGCTTCCCAAAAGGGGCATTTGGAAGTTGTGAGAACTCTATTATCTGCTGGTGGTTCTGTGAAATCTATCACTCGCAAGGGACTCACACCTCTTCACTATGCTGCTCAAGGTTCTCACTTTGAAATTGTCAAGTACTTGGTTAAGAAAGGAGCGAATGTCAGAGCTACTACAAAGGCCGGGAAGAATCCAGCAGATGTTGCGGGTAATGCAGAAACCCAAAACTTCCTTGAAGAATGTGAAGAGCAAGCAAGGAAAGCTAAGGTGAACAATGAGAAAAAGACAGAAGAAGTGAAACCAGCAAGTTGTAGCAATGAAGGAGATATCAAGGATCTGAAAAGAAAGGAATCTGAGGATGGAAACCAGGGTGAGAAAGAAGAAGCTTCTGCGGTATCGAAAAAGCCAAAAGTTGCTCTTTCGCATCTTCAGGACACTGACGACACAGAAGCTGATCAAGAAGAAGAAACCTAGGAACCAAACAATGTTACTTCTTCTAGTCCATCAGAAGTATCTACTTAACAAGAGTTGTAAGATCCATCCTTAAGATAAGCCAGATTTCACCAAAACTTTTGTTTGTTTCTGAGATCCGTAATAGTTTGTAGAAGAATCCATCAGTTTCCATGACAGTTGGTAAGACAGATTGTTTTTAGCTGTTAAATCAATCCTCCGACTTTAAAGCTGTTTCTCTGTATTGCTTTCTTTTTCTGTAAATGATTTACGATTACATCACACAACTGTCTACGAATCATTACATAATCACTCACTCTCTCTCAAATAATGTTTTGTTTCTAAGCCTTTGGAAAAAGAATTTTCAAGTATTGTGTCGCCATCCATCCGAGAACCGAGAAGTAAACAAGAAGCAAACATGCACGCTTCACTTGTACCAAGAGATTCACCTTAGAAAACTGGCTCTTCACTGAACAAAAAGCTCGAGGGAACCAAGATTTTGCATGTCGTAAGATCCGTACGATGAAGACTATGATTATGGAAGTTGCGAAGCCAGAGACAGTGCCAGCGATCACATCATATTTCCAGTACTTTGGTGTTGCTTCTCCATTAAACCATGACTGTAAAAGTTTAGAGATTCTGGAGAAAAAAGAACCAATGAAAGAGGATCAATTCGGTGAATAACAGCACCAAGACAAGACAAGACTGACAAACTAAACAGATGATAGAACATTCGTAAATGATTTCAACAAAACAAACGCCTCAATCGTTGTGCTATTACTAATTATCATGGATTTCATGATTTTTCATCATGATTCTCCTATAGTGTGTATGTGTTTAGTTATGATGAAAAATGTATAAAAATGAGAGAAAAGATAAGAACTTACACAACAGAGTATTGCTTAACAATGTCGTTGAAAGAAAGATCATTTGCTTGGCAACCGAAAAAGCTATCCCGATAAAGCTTTATCTTTGGAATCCCTAATGTGTACCAGCAATCATAAGTCTCATTCACCTGGACAAACAAAAACATATTGCAATCCGAAACACAACGCAATTCAGAACAGTAAACAAACTGATATCAAGTGCAGAGATTCAATATGGTCAAAAGAACCTACCTTGAAGTTATCTTTAGTAAGCAATGCAGCACCAAAGTTAGGTCTGCACTCAGGAGGAAGAGCTTCATTTGGTGCTTCTGAAAACGCTAGCCGTGTTTGACCCATTAAGTTATCTTTATACTCTACCTGTGAATGCGATCATCGAAACGAAAAAACAGATACAATAGAATTAGTAAATTTCTCTACTTTGAAAAGCAAAAGACAGATATATTTCTGCAGAATATCTCACAACCTTGAAGACAGAAGCCCAATAGTAATCATAACGACATCTGAATTTATCTCTCTCAAAAGGGTAAAACACATGTTGTGCTTTGATGTTCAATAGTCCAATGCCACACACTTTAGAAGACCTAAGATCAACAGCTACATCAAAATTAAGTAAAGCCATGAGATTCATACAAAAGAAACAAAACCCCCAAAATCATTGTAAAAGACTTTCAATTTCAATCATAAGAGATTACTGTGACAGAGATCATTAGAAAGTGAGACCATTTATCACAAGAAACCTATCAATTTCTGCAATCAATTGATGATAAACCAAATAGAATCAAAGCTTTAAACTTACAGCTGGAAACAATTTTGCAGCGGGAATGAAGAGAAGCAGAAGAAGAAGAAAAAGAATAAACCCACAATTCACCGATGAAAATCACTAAGATTCCTAATAGAAACGACAAGACGACGAAGCTGATGATCGAGAAGACTAGCACTGTACAGAATCGCAAAGCTAACGAAGAGAAAACCCTCTTTTGCTTCTTTGTTGTCGTCACCGACGACGTCGTTTCTTCGGAATCCATACTATCTTCTCCGGTGAGTGAGTTTTACTCAGAACAAAGAAATCGAATAATCCATTTTTCACGCTGATCTCAACGACGGTCACCGGGAAATCAAATCTTACCGATATCCGATTATCCGATTTTTTTTTTCAATTGCCTTTTTTTTTTTTTTTCCTCGTTGAGTCTTTGACTGTCGTTGCGACGATGATGTGAGTGTGTAAATGCAATTAAAACAAAATATTTTTTCGGACAGGGTTGATCAATGTGAATGTGATGGAGAGAGATTGCTGACTCAACAGTACAGTTGCCACATGTTCCACGTAATATGTTCGTTTACTTGTCATATTGGGCCTTTAAATGGGCCTGTATCTGTGCTCGAGTCTTCTCGAAAACATTCCACGTCACCATTCTACACGATTAACGAAGCTTGCAAGGGAATTTTCAGAAGGGTAAATCCGTAATTATACCAAATCGTGGCTCGATTGCGATTTTCCAAATTCTTGAAACCCTTATTTTAGTTTCCCTCTCAAACGGAGCGTAAAGTTTCCACCTTTCACTCTAGGGCTAATCTCAAATCCTTCATCTTCTTCAACCTCTAGTCTCTGTAGATTCAAGCCAATCTGTTTTCGCCTTCACAACTTTCCTCAATTTCAGATTCATTCATAAAGATTCACCCTTTTTCTTCTCTAATTGCTTCTACTGATTATCCAAGTTTCTTGGTTTTTTTTTTTTAATCTGTAACGATGGAGGTAAGTTTGACGGCGGGAGCAATCGGGAAGATAATGAGTGGGGAAGTGACGACTGAGGCAGATATGATTCCGGTGCTGCAAGTGACGGAATTGAAGCAGCTTAAGGCTTATCAAGATCCAACGAGAGAGAGGTTTAGGATGGGTTTATCAGATGGGACTCACTTGCATCAAGGTATGCTCGCAACTGATCTCAACGATCTTGTCAAACAAGGGACTCTTCAATCCGGTTCCATTGTTCGACTTACTCATTTCGGCGTTCATGTCGTCCAGACTCGAAGGTAATTCTATCTCTGAACAAGAAGATCTTGAAGTTAGGATATGTGGAAGTTGGTAAAGTTTTGTACTAGATAGCCAATATAGTTGCTTTATGTAAGAGACTACATTAACTAAAATTCAAATAAATTCATAAAGTTTTGATTTTGATGACAGGATTGTTATTGTTCGGGAACTGGAGGTGATAAAATCGAATTCTGATATAATCGGGCATCCTGTTCCAGGAGGAAAGCATAATGATCAACGTGGAGCAGAGTCTGGTATTAAGTTAAATACAACTGGTTCTGATCAACAGGGTCTTGGTGTCCGTCAAGTTAACAATATCGAGACAGGGAGAAGTAATGCAGCGATGTCACCTCAAGTTGATCAAAGGCCAGTGTTTGGTACTAGTTCTAGTGTTCCTGCATCAACAACGCCTTCCACTCGGGTAGACAGCAACCCGTCTGCAGGTCATGGAGTTTCTAGGCAGGACCATGCTCGTGATCCTCCAACCAGTTATCCTCGTCAGCCTCAACCACCACCACCGATGTATGCAAACAGGGGACCAGTGGTAAGGAACGAAGCACCTCCTAGGATAATTCCAATTAATGCTCTTAGCCCGTACTCGGGTAGGTGGACCATCAAGGCCAGAGTCACGAATAAAGCAGCACTTAAGCAATACAGTAATCCCCGTGGGGAGGGGAAAGTGTTCAACTTTGATCTTCTTGATGCTGATGGCGGAGAAATACGTGTTACTTGTTTTAACGCTGTGGCTGATCAATTCTTTGACCAGATTGTTGTTGGTAATCTTTATCTGATTTCGAGGGGAAGTTTGCGGCCTGCCCAGAAGAACTTCAATCATCTTCCCAATGATTACGAGATCATGCTGGATAATGCATCAACTATAAAACAATGCTATGAGGAGGATGCTGCAATTCCGCGCCAACAGTTCCATTTCCGTACTATAGGTGATATTGAAAGCATGGAGAATAACAGCATCATTGATGTAATTGGTATTGTGTCATCTATCAGTCCTACTGTAACAATAACGAGGAAAAACGGAACTGCAACACCGAAAAGATCACTTCAGTTGAAGGATATGTCTGGCCGAAGTGTCGAGGTAACTATGTGGGGTAACTTCTGCAATGCAGAAGGACAAAGGCTGCAAAATCTTTGTGATTCTGGGGAGTTTCCGGTTCTTGCTGTTAAGGCGGGCAGGATCAGTGAATTTAACGGAAAGACAGTGAGCACCATTGGATCAAGTCAACTGTTCATTGACCCAGATTTTGTTGAAGCCCACAAACTGAAGGACTGGTTTGAGAGAGAAGGAAAGAGTGTCCCTTGTATCTCCTTATCTCGGGAGTTTTCCGGCAGTGGCAGAGTAGATGTTCGTAAAACAATTTCTCAAATTAAAGATGAGAAACTAGGGACCTCAGAAAAACCAGACTGGATTACAGTCAGTGCCACAATTATATACATGAAGGTTGAAAACTTCTGCTACACAGCTTGTCCTATCATGAATGGTGATCGTCCGTGCAGCAAAAAAGTAACGGACAATGGAGATGGCACATGGCGGTGCGAAAAGTGTGATAAAAGCGTCGATGAATGTGACTACAGGTATATACTGCAGCTCCAGATACAGGACCATACGGATCTTACTTGGGTCACAGCATTCCAGGAGGCTGGTGAAGAGATAATGGGCATATCTGCTAAAGATTTGTATTATGTGAAGTATGAACACAATGATGAGGAAAAATTCGAAGATATCATCCGTAAGGTTGCTTTTACCAAGTACATCTTCAAGCTGAAGGTAAAAGAAGAAACATTCAGCGACGAACAGCGTGTGAAAGCAACAGTTGTGAAAGTGGACAAGCTAAACTATTCATCAGATACCAGGACTATTTTAGATGCCATGGATAAACTCAGGACTGGAGATGCAAGTTCTCTTTCCATTAACATTAACGCAGAAGGATCTCATTACAACGCTGATGCAGTTAACACTGGTACAGGAAGCTCAGGAAGCTCAGGAACCAGAGATCCCTCATCAGTCCAAAGAAGGGATTTCAGTTTACATGCTCATCAATCAGGTCAATCTGGGAATCACTATAGTAGTGGCTCTAGGCCTCAAGGTGGTGATGCTACTACTAGCTGCAATGTCTGTGGAAACAGTGGTCATGTTTCTGCAAACTGTCCAAGTGCTACGACTGAGCCGCAAGGGCAGTACATGGGTGGCTCTTACAGAGGCATGTCGGGGAGTTATGGAGGAGGAATACCTAGGCAACATGTTGGAAGCTACTGAGATTCACAATCATCATCTGGCGCTCTCACTTTTTTTTTGGTAGAATGAACTAA